TAAATATAATTTAAGGATAAAGTTGTATTTTGAGTTTATGAGTTTTTAAATTATGATTCGAGTGTAGAAAATTTATTTGGTTATGAATTTTGAATTGAGTTTTGAATTGACTGTTAAATTGAGTTTTTAATGTTTTATGTGACCTATAAAATAAGAAAATTTGTTTGGTTATGAATTTTAGAAAGAGTTTTCAAAATTTAATTCAAATTGTTATAACTCATAACCAAAAATACTACTCAAAACTCTATTGAAAATTATGATCAATAAACAAACTCTTTTTAAAATTCAATTAAAAAAATTAATTATTAACGGCAAATAACATTAATCAATTTTTTTAATTGAAAATATTACAAAGGCAATAATTTTTTTTCAAAATAAATATTTTCAATTAAAACATTTTTATATTTTTAATAATTGCTGTCACAAATTATTTAATATTTATTGTATTGTTATTTTCAAATAAATGGATAAAAAATTTATCTAGTATTACCTATGTGGGAGTCAAACAAAAATTAGAATATTATTCTGTTAGCATCTACACAACTTACCACACACGATTCAATTTTATTCAATTTTTTTTATTCGCTTTCAACAGAAAATTAGTCTAAGCACAAACACATGTATGTATGTATGAAAAAGTTACCCAAAAAGAAAAAAAAAAGCCACCATAGTGCTCAACTGAGCCAGACATCCCCTCGGATGTCTGGAGGATGTCCCGTAGACTCAAAAAATTTAAAAACTGTATGAAAAAGTGAGAGTTTTGCATTGAAAGTTTGTTTTAGAATGAGCTCTACCAAACGTGAAACAGAAACGTATTTTGAAATGTGTTGTGGAATTAATTTTTGAAAATCCCATCCAAACACTTTATTCGCGTGAAGAGATATAATTATAATTAGAAAGTTGTACCAGACACAACCTAACTTTTTGATTTATTCCTCTATGCTTTTTGGTTTATTCTATCATTTTATAATGATTTTCTCTTTTAAAGAAACTACAAAATAAAATTGTTATATACAATTATGGCATACAAATAAGATTATCATTCATCTTTAAAGGTAAATGATCTAAGGCTCATTAATTTTTATATTCTCAGTAATTGAAATTTTTGTTTAGTTATTTTTTCATATAAGTTCTGTAAGTATTTAAGAGTTTTCAATTTATAATTTTTGGCATTGAAACTTTTGTAAAATGATAGGGTTTTGTTTATGTTTTAAATATTTTTTAATCTAAATTATAAATTATCCTTTTTATTAATCTTTTTAGGTATAAATTTTGTTCTAAAAAAATAACTACAATTAATAGGTTTGTTTATGTTTTAAATATTCTCAATTTTTTTGGGTATAAATTCTATTTTTCTTTTTGGTAATTCATGAACAGTATTGTATACAAGTTTATAAATTTTAATTAAACATATTTTAAAAATTAAAAAAAAACAAACATCCTAAAAAATTTATATTTTGGTATATAAATTCTGTAATTTTTGAAAAAATGAAAATTTCAAATTTTTAATTTGTTGATTATGTTGACTGAAAAACAATAAATAAAAAATCGTATAACATGTATATATTATGATGTGAATTTTAGGCTTATATTTTTATGAAAATTTGTTTCATTTTTTTTACCATATAAAAGTTTAATCTAAACTACAAATTTTTTAAAAAAATAAATAACTAGAATTAATAGGTTTGTTTATGTTTTAAAATATTCTCAATGATTGTTTATTTATTTATTTTTATAGTTTAATTTTGTTCATTATTATTCTAAACTATAAATTATGTTTTAAAAAAAATAACTAGAATTAATACGTTTGTTTATATTTTAAATATTCTCAATGATTGTTTATTATTTTTTTATTTTTTATTTTGGGTATAAATTTTGTTTTTTTTAAAAATAAATTCTGTAATTGTTTAAGAGTTTTGAATTTGTTTATTTTGTTTATTTTCTTTGGTATAAATTCTTTAGTTGTTTAAGAGTCTTGAATTTATTAAATTCTCAATTATAGAAATTTTTGTTTATTTATTTATTTATTTTACTATAAATTATGTTAAGTAATATCACTCTTCTTGGCCAATCTTTTCAAAATTTGAACTTTGAGAGCACATCTTAGTAATTGTTTAGTTATTTATATAAAACTACATCTCAGTGATTTTATTTTTTATTTTTATAATTTAATTTTATTCATTATTATTATAAATAAAAAAAATCAGTAAGCTTTGCCACATTGTGCTATTGGGGACAAATTGTTTTCAACTTGCTTTACCACATAATGTATATATATTTGTGAAAATTAGTCAATAATATTTTCACCGTGCCTGAAGGCACGAGCATACCCTAGTATATATATATATCATATGTACATATTTTATTTATGAAATATATTAAAATCAAATGTTATATTACAATACATTATATTATACGCATGATACATATATACATTATTAAAAAATATTGTAACATAATATAATTTTTTTTTGAATTTGCACACGCATCGCATGTGCCCTCAGCCGCTAGTGTTTATGAGCAGGAGGATGAAGGAGCAACCATTGTCTGCGTACTTGTGAGAATCGGGAAATCCTCCTCGCCCTCTGCCTCAATTGAAAACACTCACGAAGCATTTTATTTTGTTTTGTTTTATTTAAACTGGAAGGTTACGTTACGTATGCAATACATTATTATTTAAAATTGAAACTAAATCTGTAAATTTAATTTTTAAAATTTAAAATTGTTATAACGTGTGTAAGTGTAGGAAGAAAAGAAAAAAAAATTTATTCAATTTATACTTGGTAAAAGTTTTAGAAGATTAAATTTAGGCAATTTTACTTGAAATAAAAAAAGTTGATTATCCATTAAGAAATGAGTCAAGATATAATTTTGTTTTGTTTTTAATTTATTATTGCACGTGGATTACCAAAAAAAAAAAATAAATATATATTATTAGTTTGAGGCTTTTTTTAAATAGAGAATGTGAATAAAAATCATTATAGTAATTTTTAATTGTTTTTAAAGGGGTAAGCATAATTATGGCGATGGTTTAAGATTTAAAATTTTTTTTAGCTTCAAAACAGAACGTTTTGTACCATAAAATACTCTAGATTGGATTCTAAGTTTGTATTCCTTTTTTTTTTTTTTTTTTTTTGGTACACGTTATGTAAATTAGAATAGTCATTCCTTTCAATCAAACAATTTGAATTATGTTTTGCTCTATAATTATAATAAGTTCACTTAAATTAAATAAATTTATATCATTTTTTTCATGTTAGTATGCCTTCCTCTTCTTTTAATATTTTTATTTATAGTGATCATGTAACACTTTCTTTCCATTACATTTATATCTCTCCATTATAAATAAATTTGTGCCTTCTCAACCTATTTTAAGTAGTATTGCTCATTTTTTTTTCACTAATATTTAATATTAATTTGTAACTGCGTCTTTAGTCTTATCATGTATCCATGCAAACATTTCCATCCAAACTATACATTTTATGAATGCTTTGCTCTCATCTCATCAAGCAATGAGTATTGTTGATCTTTGTTTTGAAAAAGTTTCCTTTCAATGTGTTAGGTGTGCTGAGTCAACTTGGGATCCCATCACCTTCAATTTCTCCTTAGATAACAAAAAATATTCGCTCTTTATTATTTTTTGTTTTGAATTTTTATTTCCATTATTACTTAAAATTCAATATACTAATTGAAAATCAGTTACATCTGTTTAATAAAAATAATTTGTCACTTAAAAATTCAATTAGTTCTTAAAATGTTAGTTAAAAGTTAAGAAAATGTTAAGTAGCATAATTTTATACTAACTGAATTTATAAATATATATAACTATTAGTGTGCACCGACATGTCCTCGCTATTATCACCATAACCACCACCACTACACCGCCACACCTACCATCGTCAACGTCCCTCCACCACCACCACTACTACCACAATTATCATCGTTGTCGCATGCACTACTTGATTTCATTGTCGCCGCCGCCGCTACTGCCACTACCACCATCTCTCCACCACCACTACTACAACCACCCTCCATCTCCTTTACCATCACCACAACTACCATAATCACCACTATTATTACACCACCACCATCACTATCACTACACCATTGTTGCAGCTGCAACTGCCGCTACCCCTCTACCTCCACTACACCACCCTTTCCACCATCACGACAACCACTATACCACCACCTCAACCACTGGCACCATAGCCACCACAGCCCCCACATCTACCACCTCTATCACCACAACTACCATAATCGCCACTATTATTCCACCACTACCATCACTATCACTACACCATTGTCGCTGCCGCCACTACCCCTCTACCTCCACTACACCACCCTCTCCACCATCACCACAACCACTATCCCACCACTGGCACCATAGCCACCACCACTACCACATCTACCACCCCAACCTCAGCACAACACTATAAAAATTGAAAGATAAAATCTAAAAATAATAAAAAAAAATTATCTTATACTTCTCAAACTACTTATTTTAGTTCATCATCTAAATTTTTATCAAACATTTTTTCGACGTAAAAAATTAGCATTCAAATGAAATTTCACTCCAGCGGGATGGAAGTTCATTTCCTCCTATTAACACATAAATTCACAAAATCAAAATCATCTTGATATGTACACCAAAGGACATTATTAATAGAGAGGATGGATGGTTGGGTTGGGTTGGGTTGGGTTGGGTTGCATGGAACGTTGTCTCACTTATTACTTATTTCCTTTTCTTGTCATCAGCTTTGATTAGAAGAACAGGCGCTGCCGGTATCCTGACCCACCATTCTCTTATCCGCCTTAGCCATCGGTCACTACTGGCTTTCCTCAATGGCATCTCCCTAGTGAAGGACTCAAGGAACACCAACAAGGTTAAGTGTCTTAAAGGTACAATTGCCAACAACACAGCCACAATAACTAACAAGAAAGCAATACCGTCTGTAGCCTGAAATGGAAATGAGAAGAAAGTTGAAAGCAGGAATCCAAGAAACATATCTTTTAGACAAGCATTTGGCATCGTTTTCAGTTTTCTGTCTTAAGAAACAGAAAAATGCTGAAAACACATTTGGCAAACTGTTTTCGGGAACGTTTTCTGTAAACACTCCATTTTTTAGGAAACACCTATAGTTGTTTTTGTGAATTTTAGATAACTGTTTTTGTAACAACAAAAAAAATGAAAAAAATATAAAACGGATGGGTATTCTTCAATGTTTTATTATTTTGTTCCCAATGACGTGAAAACAAAAAACAAAAACAAAGAAGATGAACATGATACCAAACAGCCCCAACTTCGAAAAGAAAAGAAACATGGTACTCAACATGTTCGTGTAGCTTGTACTATAAATGATAACTAGTATCATCATGACAAAATTTGAGAGAACTAATATTTATCCACAAAAAAAAAATAAATAAATAAAAATAAATAAAATTTGTGATAACTTTCGTCATTACGACAAAATTTGTATCTAGATCTCACTTTACTAGCCAAGAGGAATGTACAGGTAATGTGACTGATTTGAGGAAGTCACCAGTGTCTCCAATGACAATTATTATGGGAGAGCAGCAGTAGCTATAGCAAAAAAAAAACATTTGATGAATTGGGCAGGAGTACAAAAACATTCATCTGGAATACAAATATCAGGTTTTATTTATTTTCTTTCTTATTCTCTCTCATCCCTTTTTACCCTTAATCTACCAGAACAGTTCAGGTAAAATCAGGTTGAATATCATACCTAGAAATTATCTGAACTACCAGCAAGAAAAAACTTGCAAAATCACACAACTGAGTGTATGCTGTCATAGCTTTAAATAATTGTATATAACATTGCGAATTGAGAGGCCAAATACCTGTGGAAGTGCAGCAAATAGGAGAGCTCTAACTTTCAGTAAAGTAATATTTCCAGCTTGTATTAGAGATTCAACTTGAGTGATGGCTTCTTGTAATGTCAGCAGCTGCTCTACTGCATTTTTATTTGGGGGAATGGTAATTTTAAATGCTTCCACTGGCCTCTCTTTCTTTATATGCCCATACCAGAGCATAAGAACTGCAAGAATTACAAAAATGGAGGGCAATATATACCTGATCCATCCCCTGCAAATCATAATGAGTCATTTTATTAAATTTCTTTCTTCAAGAAGTAATGAACGGACCAAAAAAACAGTCCACCAAAGGGATATTAGAAGGATGTCAAATCTACATCAGTAAAATCCCATCTCACAATTAGCATGAAAAAGGCCAATTTCTTTAAACTAACTTCCTTTTCATACTTTAAAATTAGAAGGAAAGGAAAAGAAGTTAAATTCTCAATTCCATCATTTTAAGGAACATTTTGGCCCGCAATCTGTTATCCACAAGCATTTACTGTAGAATTACAACACAAACCTTCAAAATATATTCTTTCACAAAAGCAAAAAAAAATAAAATAAAATTGGGGCTTTCTGGGGAAGGCTTTCTGTTGACTCGAAGGATCTTTGATGAAAGTTAACCAAGATAAAATACAGAAGTACGATAGAATATCTATCATCCAAATAAATCATTTTTTGTACTTCAGAAAAGTCTTTAATCCAATTACAAAAGACTTCTCCATTCATAATAATGTCAATAGCAAGTGAAACACAATTGCTTAATCTTCCTATTCTAATTTAATTGATATCCATTTCCATTTATTGTGAACGAGAGAGAGAAAAGAGAACACTTCAAATAAAGCCCGAGGAAAGAAAGTTCCGTTTTACCAATTTTATCTTTATTCATCTACTATAAACTAAAATTCAATCTACCTGCAATGAACCTTAAAATTGTTGGCCTTATAGCTATTCTACAAATAATAAATACAGAATTCAATTTTGTTCTATAATATGCCACGCACTTCTCCACTTGAGCAAAGCCAACCTACTTTGATTCTATGAATCAAATCATCTCTAATCTCACCATCATTATTATTAATCAAACTTAAGTAAAGAAAATGTTCACTATATCTTATCTTATGGCTTTCAACCGTAACTTCTTCATTATTTCCAGTTCTATTGTTGCTGAAGTCACATTCCATATATTAAGTTTTGTTCTTACTAATTTTAAACCATTTTGACTTGAGTGCTTTGGACTAGGCCTGTCATTATTTGTTAGCTTTTTAGTTGGCTGATTTCCGGTTGACAAAACATCTGAGTCTGTATTTTTGGGTTTTTCTTGTTTTGGGGTTTGAGTCTTAGACTAGTTGAGCTCATTTTGTTGTGCTTGGGTTCTTGTTGGTGGAAGAATCTTCCAAGTCTCAAAGGTTTGTGACCCAGCCACACTTCACACACTGATTTTATGGTTTGCACTCGCTTTCCGCCCCCCTCAGTAGCTCAAGCTCTGGTTTTCGTGCAATACCCGCTCGATTCAAGCTTGACAGTCGCTCGAGCGCTACAACCCCTGAGTTGTTCACTTGCTTCGAGCTCGACAGTTACGCCAGTGCTGTCATTGCTGCATGTTCTGCTCGACACGCGCTCTATAGTTGCTCAAGCGCTGGAACTCCTGTATTTTGCGCTTGCTTCACTCTACAGGGGCTCAAGCGCTGGAATTCCTGTAAAGCGCGATCAATAGGTGCTCAACAGCCATTCAAGCACTAACGACTTGTAGCACGTGTGCTTTTGAGCTTTTTGTGACTCTTTTGCCCCTGAACTGTTTCTTGATCACATCTGATCTCATCTTTTTGGTAGAGATTCGAGAATACAAGCTTAGACACACTTTCTCTCTCTACTTGGTTGATTTAAGCTTGTGCTCCAAGAATCCACGGATAAGGGTTTCAATCTAGAGATGGGTTTAAGATTTCTATCTTTACTTCTCTCTAGATTGATTGTTTTACAACTCATTTTTCTTAAATCATACACGTACTCTTTTTATCCTTTAATCACCATGGTCAATTGAAGATCGAAGCCATTGATTTGGAGATTGGAGCTCAAAGCTTCATGGAGATTTGTGAATCAAAAGTGCCTGTGCTTGCAAGGCCGCTACGGAGCAGAGATCTAGCTCTTGAAGCTTGTGGTGAGGCTCAACTATAGGGAGGCTAGGGATTTAGCCTCCTTGTTGTCTCGCATTGATCATTTATCAATGGATTCATCCTCGAGTGATAAACTGGTTTGGCTCTTGCATATTTCCGGTATCTTTTCTTGCAAATCCTTTTTCGCAAAAATCATTGAGAAGCCAAGTATTCCGTTTTTTTCTCTGCACAAGAATCCGGAAATCTTGTGCGCCTCTCAAAGTGAAGTTTTTTATGTGGTCTTTGATTCATGGAAGCATTTTGACCAATGATGTCCTTCAAAAAAGGAGGCCTAATCGTTATCTTTTTCCTCAATGGTGCATTATGTGTAAGGAAGAGGGGGAGACTCTGGATGATCTTTTTTGTTTTGCATTGCCCAGTGGCAAGGAGTTTGTGGCAGCAGTATTTTTCATGGGGTGGCCTTGATTGAGTGGCACCTGAATCAAGTAGTTCAATGCTCTCCATTGATTTTTGATTTTTGGCTCAAATAAAAAAGCAAAGGTGTTGTTGGGGCTTTATGTGGCTTTTGCATTATTCCGGGTCATATGGTTGGAAAGGAATGCGAGAATCTTTGAGGATAAGTGTTGATGTCTTTTTGATGTGGGAGAAAATGAGATTCCTGGTAATTCCTATTTGAGTCTTGTAATTGGTCGATTCATTGATCTAGTAAAATTCGGTGTTGGGGTCACGGTTTTCATCCTGTGAGATGGTTGTCTCATAAGGTTTCCACATAAATTGTGCATCTCTTATATTGTTTCATTATTGTCTATTGAGAAATCATGTGGGGTTTTGGTTGATAATTGATGATTGTTCTTGATTTGATTTTTGGATATTGGAATCACTTAGAACAATCAGTGGGAAATCATTGGGAATTTCATTATTAATAAAATAAAATTTCAACAATGAACAATCATACGATGAATGTCATTAGGAGATTGTACATGAAGACCAAGCCTATTGAAGAGTCAAGCTGGGATGAAACGAAGCAGGCAGCCTGGCCACCACTATCTTCATGTAAAATTTATTTAAGATGGCATCACAACTACCCAATCCACTAGCCAACCTGGTCCGTCCGTCTTTGGACCAAAATATGAAGAGAATCCACGAAACTTGAGCTTAAAAATTCCTTTTGGGTTATTAAGCATTGCCTCCATTTTTCTTTCATATCAAGCAATCACATCCAATATCCACTGATTGATGAAGGCCTTAACTGCTGCTTCTCTCTTTGAAACATCAAGTCACCTAATATCCAAGAAAAGATGAGAAGCATAAAGTCAAAATTCAAGCCTGCTTACAACCTACTCCAATTATTTTAAGCCTTTACCGTTCAAAATGCTCTTCATATTTTTCCATCATTGCTCATTCATTCCTGTTATGCTCAAAGAAATGAAAACCAAGTCCATAAATTTCTAACATTGAAAGTGCTGCCTTAAGTTCAAGTCTGACACAATAGGTTTCATAGTAGGAAGTAAATTTTTCATTCATCACAAAGTATAATGAATTGACTTATGTACATTCTTTCATTCTTTCTTTTTTTTGATAAGATATTTAGATTCCTTCAGAAGATACCAATAATATAAAATATTAATCTATGTTAAACAAACTTGGGATCAAGATTTTTTCCACCAGTGGAAACACGAAATTCAAGTTGAAAGTAAATTACCTAAAAATTGAATAGCTGATCATCACCAGAAACATTGTTGATTTCCAAGGGTCTTGCCATGTAGCCAAAACTTGAAGACAGTTGAATGATTCAAGAAGTGGGAAAAGCAACTCCTGCAAAGGAAAGTAGCTTGAACATGTCATCCTAAGGAATAATGCATCAAAATTGTACCAAGCTATCTTAAGACCATTAAGCTGTTGAGAATCAACAACCAAAATCATGATGGAGTTCTATGGAACCCAAAACACCAAGGAATCAAATCCTTGATGACTTGTGTCAACGTGTATGAGTGAGCCATAGAACCTGAGTAAATTGTAAGTTGGTAACCAGTCATATCTAATCTAAAAATTTAAATCTAATGGACCAGTTATATCAAGGTGAAGAATATATGGGAAAATATCAGATAGGCTTATCTAAAATGGAAAAATAGTTGCTTAACTTCTCCTCATTGTGTTCATAGTCTAATTGACTGGGAGCCTTCAGTATTTTTAAAAGCTGCCATCTACCTAAAGGAGAATGAGGAAAAAGTCTCCCTTTTCTTCAAACACAAAGACTGAAAATAATAATTCAATTTTTACACCTATCTAACTAAATGCAGATGATCTTAAAAATCAAAATAAAAAGTAAAAAACAATTCTTACTAAAAATTATTTTTCTGGCACAAGAAAGCCAAACAAATAGAAAATATTTTTATGAACCTTCATTACAGCTAGATTGGTATCAATGCCCTCCACTTTTACTTGGTCCACAGTTGCTTGCGCAGCTTCTGCCCTTCCCGTGTTCCGCTTGGACTGTTTCACTGCGTTTTCTAATGGATTTATTTCACCAATACAAACATCTACAGCTGCATCAAATGCTTCCCCATCAACATCTTCCCAGTGTTCTGATATAAGCCCAAATCTGTGTAGTGTCAAAACTGAAACTGGGAGTTTCAACCCTAGTTTTGCATTTAAAACCCCAACTGAATCGCGTTGGCAAGTGCTGGCATTCAAGAGCGCCAAACGAATTGATAGAGTTTCCAAGATCACATCTCCCCCCGGAAGACTTTCAGCCAAATTAAAACACAGTAAGGTTTTGTAATGGGATGAGAAGGTACGAAACGCTTCTCTCACCGCACGATATCGGAAAATACCTAGGATTGCCCTTGCAAGTGCTTCAGATTGTTGAATCCCTTTGAGATTATACTTCCTAATGAACCTGTGAGCACGGAGGATCTCAAGACAGACATCCAACCAGTAGTCCCGTCGTGAATTGCCTTTGAATTCAGGAAACTCCAAATAAACAGGCTCTGCTCTGTACAAAAATTTAGTCAAAATCTCAAGATTTGTACCAGTATGCAAGTTTCAAACAAATAAATGTAAGTAGAAAACATACATAGATGTTGATTTGTACATCACAGCTTTGTCAAAGAGACGAGCACCCAATGGTCCGGTTAATTCAGGCCTTATGACCTGCTTCATGTCCATTGCCAAATCATATCTGACAGCTTTATCATATAAACCAACTCCCAAAGACTCAAAGTACAACGCATAATTGGTCAGTGTCAACCGCCCTGCCAAATAGATAAATTTTAAAAATAACGAACACATTCCAGAGAGGATATTAATGAAAACATACTGTCAGAGCCTGGCAACAAAGTTCAATACTTGAATCAGCCATTTACTAGGCTGTGTAGACTCAACAATTGTTTTGTGTAAATACTTTATGCTTCTGTATCGTAGATTAGATGTGCAGCATCGAACTACAATGAACACAAGAATTTAGGATGACAAGGTGTGTCACAGGCCGACTCTTTTGAATGTACAGCAGAACATATCTTTGCCAGTGATGTGCTTGAACTCCAACTTAGTCCAAGCCTGCCTAACTCTTTCAACCATCAAACATCAAGTGTTGAATTTTCACCCCACCCAATGCTTTGTCAAGTCCTGCACTTCAAATGCTGCCTTAAGACGGGCTTGCCCCAAGTGGCGCATCCATATGGCCAACCAGTCGCTTCACTGCACTGAGAGCAAGGCGCTTGCCCCATTGAAGCGTCCAATATCGCCAAGATGCCTCTTGCCACACAGCTGCACACCTTAATGTTATCAGCAGTGTTGCCCACAACTGAGCCACTTAAGGTTCCCAACTGTGCGCTAGCAAAGCCCTCGACCTAGCTAACAAGCTTCCAACGCATGTTAGGATCTCTTGTTGCGCACATCTCGAATAGTCACGAGGCTCTCCTGTACCCCACACATGACTATGGGTCACTTGCGCACCCACAACATAGTCCTCATGCACGCTTGACATGCTAACCGTCTACCAAGGGCCATTGCGCACCCAAGGCGTTGCATTAACGTGCTGCACGAGAAAGGCAACATTGGTATGTAGCCCACAAGTAGCATTACACCTTCCTGGAAGCTTAGCACAAGGTGCCTCGCATGACATAGAGCTTCATGCCTTTCAAATATTCCCATGAGTAGTGGCATTGCCATCGAACAACTTACTTTAAGCCATGAGACCCCCACGAGCATGGCCAAATCCAAGCGTATGTCGTGCCTCGTGATTTGGCACACGAGGCTCTGGTGGCACCTCGATAGCCCATTCGGTCAAGGATGACAACCCAAGATGCTACAATAACGGGTGCGTGTCCCAAATCTTGCGCCAAGGAGGTGCGCGCAATGTCGGCACACATGCCCCTTGATGATACTGTCCACGGGGCTTCCAAAACCAAATGGAGACCAAAGACGCTGCTCTGGATGCCAAAGGCCGGCCCCCAAGTTGCCTTGAGGTTGCCCACTTCGAATAAGGAGACAAGTAGAAGCACACCTTACACCCTTATAATAGTATTTTGAGTCATTTGTTGACTAAGAAAAGGAAACACCACTCTTTGTTTGAGGAGTCATAAAGATTTTTCATTAATTTCACAGATTATGAAAAATCACAATTTTAAATTATAGAAATTACATAACTCCATGAATTCCCAATAAAAATCTTATCTCAAAACTCCATTGTTTGACCCCCAAAACCCTATGCCAAAGGTTTAGCCACAATGTCCCACCGAGTCGCCTGACATGCACCACATACAGATTGGATGGGCATGCACAGTGCTCGGCATGCAACTCAACATGCACACATTGGAATACTTGGGGCCTATGAAGCACTGACACTTCAAAATAAATGTCGTAGGGGTGTTGGACACGAGGACACATATGGGACACGCAGCATGTCACATTATTTAATTAATTTGCTTTCAAGAGACACGTTGGGAACACTCAAGGAAACACCAACTAGTTCCCCCTTTTCCCCCACCCTTTTCTTAACTTTTTTGATGGATGTGAGATGTTGAATTTTATTACCTTTTGCTTAGATTTAAATACTTAATAAAACATCCACAAAAAAATATATATAAATGATAACTGTAAATTTGAAAGTGATTTTTTTAAATATCAAACAAACTAGTGTTAGTTTTTGTTAACTTCAATTGTTTATGGATATAATATTAATCTACATAAAAATATATGAAAAAATATATTTTATTGCCGTGTTCCTGTCGTGCCCGTGTCCCTATTTTTTTGAAATCACCATGTCCGTATCCGTGCCCATGCCTGTGTCCATATCCATGCTTCTTAGCTTAGGGCCATCCTTCCAAGACACATTAGGGCGTCAAACCATTTTGACTAGGAATCTCGATGCCACACGCATGGGCACTCCCAAAGACCTTGACGAAGCACTCCAAAGGTCACCACATATGCAAGCATCACGGGGTTGGACTTCAAAGGTCAACTGACACAAGGCCAAGCCATCTTAGGCAGACTGAACTCAATATTTGAATTGTTCCCTTAAACTCTGCCAAGGACAATTCTAATCAGCTCATTGTCACAATGGAACAGGATCATCTGGTATCAGTACAAAACTCATTGAGACAATGTCTCCATAATGAGCAATAATTATATTCATGAGCATATCAATGAGACTGATCTTCATAGCACAGAGTCAGAGTGGGATACAGAGTCATATTTGAATAGCTATATAACAATAGCCAAGTTAAATAAAACCAATCTCACAAAAAGTTTGATCAAATTACAATCATAAATGAAGGACTCACCAGGCCATGCTGATATTCCAATATGTTGCAGAACTGGTTGTGTGGGAACTGTACCATCAACATCTAAAATGAACTCACCCTCAGCAAGCTGAAGGTTGGATGCAGATTGAGGTCCCAGTGTACTTTTCACAGCTTTAATTACCCTGCAATAAAAATAGGAGCAACGGACTTGAGTATTCAATCAGAATCGTTTTATTATCCTTTAACTCTTGTCCATCGCTTCTTCTCTCTTCCAGATTTAGTTTTTAGTACAACCAAGTATACAAAATAAATATTTGTTCCCAAGGATTAATTAAAAAGAAACAAACATGCCTTTAATATAGTCAATATGAAGATTGCTTGAGCAATTAATTTATACCAAACCTAAATTTATTTTATTTTGTAGATATACCAAACCTAAAATATGTAGTCCTCAAGGAACAAAATTTTCTATTGTTTCCATCGAAACAACAGACTCGTTTCCATTTCCTAAGAGACCAAAACCAAACACTATCAGATAACAATATTACAACGTTTCCACCGAAAGAAAGAACTCATCAAAAGACAATGAAACATAGTGAAACAATAAGTTGCGATGACACAAATTTAGAATCTTTCAGAGATGTTTTTACAGATTGTAAATTTTTAAGGGAAAAAAAAAGAGATGAAATGTCTTCTTTTACTATATTAATAAGAGTTATTATAATAATATTAGTATAGTAATAATATTTTACTTACAAAAAATATGAATATAGAAATACTATTATCATTACTATCTTAGTAAATTTGTTTAATCTTATTTTGTAGGAATCTCACACAGTAACAGAATTATATGTACTTGTATTTGATAAACTCAATATATTTGACAAAACTTCACCAAATTTTTGTTCATGGCAACATTTACTTTTTAATTTTACATTTGTTCCTTATGTGAATCTAAAAGTGTTAGAATTTACCACTCACCTACTACCTCCACTATCTTTCTCCACACATACCACCTCCACTATACCACTCACCTACTACCTCCACTATCTTTCTCCACACCTACCACCTCCACTATCACACACTCCACTACCATCTTCTCCTCTATATATAGGAATTGTAATATACATCAATATAACAATCTTGTAATCATCAATCAAGAACAATCAATAATAATACATCAGTTATTTTTTTACATGGTAAATATGTTTAATTAATCAATTATTAGGCTTTTATACATTTCGATAAGTTTTATTTTGTGTTCTAAATGTTTTCATGTATGTTCAATTTCTTTTCTTATTTTTCGAAACACTTCCAAAATGTTTCCATTTCCATGCTAACCGAAACAATACACTAAAACGAAATTTTGATCCTAGGTGGTCCTTGACGACTAAGAGGATTGAACAAAAAGTTTCTAGCCATGCATAAAAAATAATCAACCTCATCCAAACAAGAGAACTGAAAAGGTTCTTGAAGGCGCACCGTAAGATTCATTAACACCTGATGCATAAAAATTTTGATCCTGGATTATTAGAGTTACTACAAACGAATTAAGACATCCAAAGAAGACCCTAAAAGTATGGGGTTAAGGTGGCAAGTGTCAGTACAAGCTACACCCAAATAATTCACAAATTCCACTGAACCCCACTTCTGAATAATACAAAGCAAACCCTCCCAACCAAAAAAAAAAACTTGCACTTAAACAAGTGTTCTTAGCTCGAGGAGCTGACCATACTTCTCAAGTGTTCGAAGGTACTTGTCATATATGAGAAAATGAAGTCGATGACCAGAAGAACTAGTCAGTGCATCAAAAAGATTGTGGACAGTGATTATATCTGCAATAACAGCACAGGCAGGAGCTATCCGTGCAAAAGCCTCTGTCCCAACAGTCTTCTTGTTATCAACCTGATGAAAAGTGAAATGAATGAGCACACAAGACCGACACAACAGACTGCTAAGGATTTACCCTAAACCAACTTACCCAAAAGAAAGAGTTACCCTACACCAAATATTACCGTTAGTGAAAAAAGGCTCTATATTTTTAAAGCAACAAAATAAAAATGAGAAGACCACCTGAACAGCCATTTTTGTGGAACTAGAATAAAATAATGACCACCCATCCTCATCCTCCACTTCCTGGTTACTGCAAGAAGCAGTTTCCTGTCATTTGGAAAAGTTAAGGCTGCATTTACAATCCAGAAATGAAAAAACACTTTAATCCATACTCTGAAATTCCTAACAAACAATCAAGAAAAGGCACCACTAACAATATGAAACATTAAAAGTTCGCCAAAATATCCAGAGAAAATATGTTAGCTATCTTACTGTGTCTGGTGTCTGATTCTCAACACCAGGGGCCTCCCAAGCAAGCATCATGTCAAAAGTTAAACAACGGAACTCCTTGTCACTTAAATAATCTGGATGTGCAGTCACCAGATTGAGTGCTTGGTAAGAACAGAATTCTAAAAAATTCCTAGTATAGGTTGAAGGTTGCTTGACAGTATCAGGTAGCTCTGTCTCAAAACGATGCTGTAATTCTTCAGTAGGGATTAGAAGAATCCTGCAATTGCATAAAATATGCGTTAGGCAAGAAAAATCAATAAAAGGATAATTTCTTGCAACTGTAAAATTTTCTTATTTGTAACCAAAATTTAAACTATTTCTTAGCATCTAGATAATCCTTTGACAGATGGTCACATGGGAAACATTATTTCCCGATAGATGGAGAGAAGCATATGAGAAAGATAAGGGTTGTGAGTATCTTACAATTCACGATACGTCACTTACGATTTGATATGTTTAAAGGAAAATGAATACATATCACCAATATGTATCTTGGCTTAAATATATCTTACGATACATGTGACATGACCTACTACATATTATACATGAATACTTAAATTGTTTTTTAACATTATTTGAAAAAAAAAAGTAGCAGAACTTATTTTGTGGAAGTTAATATTATTAGAAAGGTTAATTAAATTATTAAAAATATATATTGTTAAAATAAAAAAGATACTTTTTCTTTTGCTATGTCTAACATTTCTACAAATATCTACTCATTGGTATCAAGTATCTTATGATATTGATTGATACCTGAAGTAAAGCTTAAAGTTTTCTATTATAGATAAACTATTTGAAAACATAAATGTTGTAAATTAAAAATTAAAGAGTTAATTACACAGGCACCCACTCAACTATCACTGAATATTAATTTACCCCCTAAACTTTAAAACTATATATTTAGAACCCTCGTCTATAAAAAAAATATATATATATAGATATATATGTACAAATAACCCTCCCTTCCAGAGGGGGTGAAAGTGATGCAATTGTATACTAAGGGATCCAAATGTACGATTTTGAAGTTGGGGGAAAGTGATAGTTGATGATGTGTCTATGTGATTAACCCAAAATTTTAAAACATCACTGATGATTTAAGACGATACGAAAAATATATTATACAATTACCAAGAATGAGAAAAATTTTGGGAGTAAATTTGATTCAAGGACATAATAATGTACTATAGTGCTATATCTTTTTTTATACTTATTTTTATCTCCGCTCTGCATTTTTTATGTATGAAGTATTGATGCATGCATATCTTTAATTCTAGGAACCTTGCTTTTGTAACGTTGATGATTATACATTGTTTAATGTTGTTCTTGCAAGATATTTGTTTTCTATAAAAATATTTATTTTTCTACCTATTTTAAAAGATGCTAAAAAATCTTAAGATGCATAATTCAAAAAAATACAAAAACGATTCACAATTCCTATCAATTGACAACTATAGAAAAAACATTATACTCCATCAAGATCCATTTATTATAATTTTGATGTAAGTATATAATTACAAGGAATTGAATAGCAACAAGAAGAAGAAAGAACCTTGAAATTCCAGTGACAAAACAAACAAAAAAATGCATTCCAAAATGAAAGCATTAATATGATTAAAAGATTGCTCCATGTCAATTGGTACCTATTTCCTGTGCATACAGAACTATAAGGTAGAAGGAATATGTAATCCATCAATTCCACTAAATAAATATGAATATGCTTTAGAAGATAAAGTACACCTCAAGAGCTTTGCTATTGAAACCAACCAAACAAACAAATAAATAGATTTTTCATATGGCATGCATATTTGGCATTAAAATCATAAGGAATTACATATGTTGTACCACATCATAAGATATTGGCACATAACCCCCCCGCAGCCCCTCACCTTGCGGTCCTGAACCCCCCGCAACTCTCTCTCTCTCTCTCTCTCTCGTGCACGCATGCACACAATCGAAACTCATTTCTCTTTTGCAACTAGGGTTTCGCATGGGATGGGAGCCATCGAAGGAGACGCATGGTGGCGATTTAGGGTTGTGACGTGATGAGAAGATAGTAGAGAAGGGTTACGGGTTGGGAAGGGGTTGGGGGGTGGCGGGTGTGAAGCAAAATCCCACATCACCCAAGTACTAAAATAATATTAAGCATATAAGCATGAGGGCATCCTCACCTTTTGAGCTAGCTTTTGGGGTTGAGTTCTACCCAAGACCATGTAACATGGTATCAGAGCTGAAGTACCTCGGGATGGGTAGGGTGAGTGTCCTTGGCTTGCACGCCGCAGGAGCTGCCAAGTGAGCATGCTGGGAGTGAAGGAGGGTGAGAAGTGAAGTCCCACAACGCCCAAGTACTAAAATAATATTAAGCATATAAGCGTGAGGACACCCTCACCTCTTGAGCAGGTTTTTGGGGTTGAGTTCTACCCAAGACCGTGTAACAGCGAGAGAGAAAGGAGAGGATGGAAATAGGGTTTTTTGAGAAGGGAGGGAGGGTGGCAAATGGGTATGCCAAAAGTAAGGGATGGCAAGGCAGTTTGGCAAAGGAGGGTGGAGGGGTTTGCCGAAGAAGCTGATTCAAAATTTCCAAGCCACACTGATTCACTAATACCATGTGCTGCAAGGCTAATTTGAGCCCATGTTGTCCCCATTGATTTTTATTTTTATTTTTTTGTTGGAAGGGGGGAGAGGAGTCTATTGCTAGCATTATTTCACCAACACACAAAGCTATGAGGGTGGATTGTATACAAACCTAACATTTGGCATTATTGCAAAAAGTGGTTGCCTTCGAACTCAAACTCACACTCACACCATTACATTCACAACCCAAGCAACTTGCACTTGTTGGACCTAGCAGAAAGTGGCATTAGTTGTTCAGTCCACACGAAGCTACAGACAAACTGGTCCTACTCTATGACACAAGGATCCTACCAATAAGTCTATGATAGCCAAAAGTAGTCTGCAGCCTAACACCAATCCAACCCACTAAAAATAAATATATGTACAGATAGATATATAAATAATGATAGATGATGCATTCCAGCTCAATATTCACCAATCCATGCTTTTATATCAAATAATCATGATTTGGGAATAGTAAACATCATCAATGCCATTATCTCAAATATAAACTCAAGATGTAAAAACATGTGGTGCATGCATCAACTGTCCCTCAAGAAATCTAGCATACACAATGTCTAGTGGAGAAACAATAACAATATCAACTTTCCAACTTATTTGTAGCAATCTTGAAGATATTAAACATCCTAATGTACCAAGTCTAATTACTGCAGTGTACTTACTAACTAGATTGGCTGACATGAATATCAAATTTAATAGACTTATGAAGTGATATTACATAAACATGTCGCAAATATTTCATAAATTTGTGGTGCCATAAGTAAATACATTTAAAGTATATAAATATGACATAGTTTCTTAAAAAATTAAACCAAATATAATCTTAAGAAGGACCACTATCCAATTTCAGTTCACTAGGCAAAGAAGGGGGCATCATCAAATCATCTAACACACCCAGACTCTGTTGAGTTATCCTTAAAATTTAGGATTAGATTTTGGGACTTGGAGCATTTCTAGCACTAATAGATATTTTGCCTAACAAAAGTACAAAAAATAAAATAAAATAAAATAAATAGTACATTTTGTATTTTGCCTAACCACTTTGCCTAGTGTGTACTCCAACAACATTCTCTACTACTAAAATCGGTTTGCCTAGTCTCCAAGGCTCTCCAAATGTAGTTAGCCAAGAAAGAATGAGGCAAAATGCCTACCATGTTGCCCATCCTGTTGGAGTTTCATTTTGTGATGAGGCTAGACAAAAATCCTTGACGCTGTGTTTGGTTTAGTGATTTGGAAAGAGATTTAGAAAAGAAAATGAAAAAGGTATGTAAAATGTAAATAAAATATACTTATATTTCACCTAGTTTCACACACTTTTTTTTTTCCCTTTCTAAATTCCTTCTCAAATCATTCAACCAAACACAGCGTAAAATGCTCTAAATTCTTCTCCTGATGGAGATGCTTTTAGGCTGTGTTTGGTTGAGAGATTTAGGGAGAAATTTGAAAAGAGAAAGATAAAATGTGTGTAAAATTAAGTAAAATCTAAGTATATTTTATCCGCATTTCACCTATCTTTTTCCCTCTTTCCAAATCCTTTCCCAAATCTCCCGACCAAACACTTAGAAAGATAGGATTAGACACCCACCAACGAGGTGGCCCAATGGTAAGGGCGAGCATGGGACTGTGTGGGTAAGGCGCACGGTCATGGGTTCGATTCTCCCCGGGGATTAAACTCGTGATTTAAGCGGGGCTGGGCCGGTGGGTTGCTGTGATTGCCCCCCGAGGGATTAGTCTTGCTGCCAGGTGAGGACACCCTCGTCATCAAGAAAGAAAAAAAAAGATAAAAAGAAAAAAAATATAGGATTAGACTCTATGTGGTTCATTGGAATGAGATGGAATGGAATGATTATTCCCATACAATAGTGAACGACGATTCTATTTCACATGCATTTTCCATTGTTTTTTTTAGTCAAGTAAACATGAGAATGTATATTTTGATGGAATGACCATATTCCATTCCAGTGAACCAAACACTAGCTTAGGGAATCATTAGGGGTAGGAGTAGTGGCTTCCAAGGCAGCACGAGTCATTCTCTACTTGGAAGCAATTAAGTTTAATGTCAGTTCTTGATTAGTCTCTCTTTGTTCTCATTGCTTTATTTTCTTTGTTTTTCACTTGAAACACTTGGTGAGTTTGAGTTGATCGATTCAATTTTCACAAAAAGGTCTGGAAAATAGACTTTGAAGGACTTTAGGCATGGATTCGAATAAAAGAGTGTAAATGGAAACTAATTAATTGAAAAATATTGAAAAAGGAGATCATTAGATCAATAGTTGTAGTTGTTGTCATTTACTTGGAACAGCGATAGACTACGGAATTGGCGAGAGAAGAGAGGAGAGCAATGGGCCTGGGTGAATCGGCATCGCTGGACTTCTTCTTCTTCTTGTTGTTGTCGAAGAATAAGATCGACTTGAAGAAATGATTATCGTTCTTGTTGTTGCTTGCGTTTGTCATTTCGCCTTCTCCTCCTCCACTATTTTCTATTGTCATTTCGCCTTGGATTTTTATTTTTTTGATCAGAATTTAGTCGGAGAAAACCCTCATTTCATAGATCGAATAACCTCGTTCGCCCCTCGTTTTTTATTCGCATAACAAAATTAACGAAAAAATAAGGCTATGTTTGGTAGACTTTGGAATGTTAATTCCGGCTTTGACACCAGTTGTCCGGCCGGTTGATCGAAACTGTGTAATTATTTTATTTTTTATTTTTTTTATGATTGATATGTGTTAATTTTTATATATTCAATAAAAATATTTTTAAAATTTTTTATGAGTTTTGAATAAAATTTTGAGTTATGTGTTTGGTTATGAATTGTAAATTTTTGTATCAAATATCAAACGTCACATCAAAAATTTCCCACTCAATTCAAAACTCTTTTCAAAACTCATTTACCAAACAAATTTTCCACACTCAAATCATAATTTCAAAACTCACAAACTCAAAATACAACTCTATTCTCAAATCATATTTAGAAAACTCTACCAAACGCAACCTTACTTTTTCATTTTCTGTATTTTTTTTGTTTTCACTGAATTTTAATATTTTAAGCATTTTTTAAAAAAATTTAGTTACACTTAACATAAATACACTTAAAAAGTATAATATCTGTGATTTTTTTTTAAAAAAAAAAATCACTAAATACAAAAAATACAAAAAAAAAAAAAAAAAAAAAAAATGAAGACTTTTTTTGAAGTTTTGGAGAAGAAATCACGAAGCTGAACCTTTTGTAGAAGATAAGGATGTGAGTGGAAGCCAACTGTCAACAATCTGGAGGTTTCTCGGCCACCTCTTGTGGTCGGCAGGCCACCCTCTCTGGCCGGCAATCTTCTTCTCTGGTTGGCAGTCCCTTTTCTATCCTGCCGTCCACTTGTGTGCTGGGCAGTGCTAAGCATGTGTTTTGTCTTGATCTTTGAGTGTTTCAAAGTCTTGTTTTGAGTCTTTTAGTGGGTTTTTGGGATTGGTAGTGTTTAGTTGGTAACCCACGTTTCATATATAACCCACATTTAGTTATGGGTTACCCACATTGGTAGTGTCATATTTTGACATTTTGGTTAACGTGAGCAACTCTTTAGTTGCAGGTGGTGAATGTGGAACCAACGAAATATTCTGTGGGTTTGAAGGTTGCTAGGGTTTGTGATCGTGATCTGTGGCCGTCGGCGACGAAGTTTGCGTGAGCACTGTTTCAAGGAAATTTGTAAACGTTAACCTAACGGGGATGGTTTGTAGACGTTGGGCTGAAGTTGTAGTGGTTGCTGTATGGGGATTGAGCAACGAGTTTGGCTGCTGACTTTACGGACTAAGTGTTGGATTACCTTTTCTGGGCCAAATCATTCCGAGATTTGGGACGTAAGTGTGGGGATTGGGTTAGGTTTGTTTTTGAATCGTGTGGTTAGCGGGATTGCATAACAGATTTGACGATGTAAATGTGGAATAACAATCGCACAATTGTGAATGTTGTACAACATCAAAATAGACCCAAATCCCATTTGATTTCAATTTTTAAACGTGGCGTAGTAGTGCAGTGGCGAGGGTTGTTGTTGTTGGTGATTTTGATACATGTGTTGGGTATTCCGTTCAATGTTTGCAAATCCAAATACGATGACAACGCCTCGCCGCAATAAGTGTCCACTTTTCACGTTTAGAATATGAGAAACAATGTTAACTATGAATGTGTTGTTATTTTTTGTTTTACATGTTTAATGTATGGTATGCATAACTTGGTTGTGTTTGCCTCATTTGGTGTTTGAAATATTGATGGACTGTTATGTAATAGTATGAAGAATGTTGCATTTGTTCATAATATTTGGGGTTTTTGGACTAGTGTGGGTAGTGTAAGTGTGGGTGTGTTGTTGGTGGGGGTTGGGCGAAATGGGTGTTTGATGGGGGGTATGAACAAGCTAGGGATGTGGTGGAGGGGGTAGTGGGTTGGTGTGCTTGTTTGGGTGGAGGTTTGGTTGGGTGACCTTTGTGGGGGAACACAATGACAGAACTGTGAGATGTGGGCTGGTGTGGATGGTGTAAGTGTTGGTGTGTTGTTGGTGGGGGTTGGGCGAAATGGGTGTTTGATGGGTGGGTATGAACATGCTAAGGATGTGGTGGAGGGGGTAGTAGGTTGGTGTGCTTGTTTGGGTGGAAGTTTGGTTGTGTGACCTTTGTGGGGGAACACAATGACAGAACTATGAATATGGCAATATATGATCTTCCATATAGTTTGTAACGAAATCAACGTAATAAATGAGATTCTTCTCAAACCCTTTAAAAATTGTTTTCAATCACCAAAATACAAAGGGCACAAACGTCATAAACACCAAACCTACAAAGCAACATGGGATCTTACGGAACACAAATCTACAAACAAAGGACTCTAAGGTGTATTATTTTAAAGTAGGACTTATTGGACTAAAACTCTCTCAAATGGGATTTGCCAATAATTTCCCCTATATTAATTCCATGATGGAATTGAATGGTTATTCATGTTTGGTACGATGAAATGAAATTAAGTGGGAATGGAATGAGAGTAAGAATGGAATACAAGGTTAAATGAAATGGAATGTCTATTCTCATTCCATTGTTTGGTTGCTAGTACGAAATGACATAGGAATAGGATGATAGTTCTTATTCTCATGTTTGGTTATACCTATTAAACTCATGAAATTGAATAAATTTTTATTACTTATTTATTTTTTTAACAAGTTAGTAACAAATAAATTAAAATTTTATATAGATCATGATAATATAAATAGTTGTGAAAGTGATGATGTGAGTCATAGTAGTGTGGTGGTGGTGGTGGTGGTAGCAGCGGCGGTGGCGCCATCAATAGTGGTGATATCAATGATAGTAGGATGGTGGTAGTAGATTGTTGTGGCTTTAGTGGTGGTGTTGTGGTTGCGGTGGTAGTGCTGGCAGCGGCGACGGCTGCTGTGGCGGCCAACGGTAGTGGCGGTGGCAGTAGTGGCGATATCGGTAGTATGGTGGTGTGGTGGTTGTGGCGGCGACCGTGGTAGTGGTGGTTATGGTGGCAATAGGGTGGCGGTGGCGATACGGTAGTAGGATAACGAAATGGCGGCGACTGTGGTAGTGGTGGTAATGGTAGTGGTGGTTATGGTGGCAATAGGGTGGCGGTGGCGATACGGTAGTAGGATAACGAAATGGTGGTAATAATAATATTTTTTTTTAAATGCCAAAAAAAAAAAATTTATGGTAATTCCATGACGGAATGGAATAGTCATTCCTTAGGTTGGAGGAAGGTATAGACATTCATACATTTTGTTGGAATAGCCATTTGTCACGACCCAAACCCGTTCCTAGGTTTAGCGTCGTAACCGGCCAGTAATCCTGGGATAACCAAAGGCCTCTGAACAAATTAACACATGATAAGGGGCTGCGGAAGCAAATAAATATCAAACATACATAGTCCATTGAGCTGTGTTGACGTACATGGGACATAATATTTAAAACTTATATACGCTCATACGTCACCAAAATCCACATATATAGAACTTACAAAACATGTTCGGACAAAACATACGAAAAGATAAAAGTCTCAAGCACTTGTTTCATATAAGCTTAATCAGGTCTCAAAAGGGAACCTCCTTGGGAGGCACAAAGGCTGGCTAACAAAACCAAAACTCCAAGTCATCAACTCTGAGCCTGGTCACACGCCTGGTCACCTACATACATAAATAATAGATTGAGTGGAAGCCTAATGAATAATAACAGAGTAAAGGGTTTAATGAATGACGTCTTATATCAGATTCGGAAAGTAGTGTTCGGATCAGAAACAGATTCATATTCATATTACTGTTCAAATCATATACATAAATCAAAGTTCATGCTAAATCATGCATGGTACATCCATTAGCGCTAACAGATCAGATACAGAGCATTAAAGGTTATACTTGACCAGTTCTATAAATGAACCTCCGGCACTGGGAACAGATAACATACTTAAGCCACGATATTGTTACCTCTGGACGAGGGCCATGAGCCCACCGTATTATTACCCCTGGGCAAGGGCCTTGTTCTCATAGACTACGGTTTTGTTACCCCTGGGCAAGGGTCATGTGCTAAGGATGTCACGAATACTTTTCAATATATGGACAATTATTCATGGATACAAAAATAGTATTTGTAATAACCCCAACCTCTGATTAACGTTAATTCGCACTTAATTATGTCTAACAGTAGATTAGGAGAGATTTGGAATTAATATGCACGTGTATTACGTTATTTACGTGTTTCTATCTGTTTGCGATAAAATGATCTATTCATGTCTTTGACTTTAAATTGCGAATTGAAAGCCTTATCGGCGTCCGAATCAGAAATTTACTTGATTTATGTGCTAGCTAGAATTTATAGAATTTTATGGTAGGTTTAATTAAAATTCGGTTCGGAGCGATTAAATTAGATTAAATAGCGTTAAATTACATTAGTCCAATTATTTACGAAATTGCCCTTGAGTAGGCCACTTTCTCATACAATGTTTAGACTAAATTCATACACCATTTTCAGCCACTTTCCTTGCTAGAAACCGTGAGAGAGAGGGAGTGAGGGAGGGATTGAATCCATCTAGAGATTAGCTTTGAGAACTTAGGAGAATTGAAGAAGGATTGCATGTTTAAGCTCCCACACTTGAAATTGAAGACCTAAAGGTAGTGAATTCATCCTTTTATTTATGAATGGGGGTTGTTCTTGCCAGGTTCTTGGTGAAATTAGTAGTTGAAGTCAAGATTTAGCTCAAAGTGTGGTTTTAAGAGTCCATTCATGCATGCATGCATAAATTTCCATGTTTTGAGTTTGAATTCTAAGATTTCTTCCATGCATATATTAATTTCACTCACATTGTGGCCATTTATCTCGTTGTCCATCAAATTATCAAGATTGATCATGTTTTGGAGGGTTTGGTTTCAAGGAGATTCTTGCATGTTATATTCAAGTTTTGTTCTTGAGATTTTATTTGAAATTGTGTTCAATTGACTCACCCTTGGGCTTTGATTTTACAAATTGATCTTTGAAACACCTTATATTATGAGTTAACAAGTGTTTTCCAGAAAATGGGCCCAAGAGGTTGAGTTTTGAGGTGTTGAATACTTA